GTCGTCTGTGTGTGTGTGTGTGTGTGTGTGTGTGTGTGTGTGTGTGTGTGTGTGTGTGTGTGTGTGTGTGTGTGTGTGTCTGGGTAAGACAGCAACACAGCCACAACCGACTGAAGCAGGCCTCAAGCATGCCTAATGTTTGGCGAACACGGGTCCAAATATCACACACACATACCCACACACATACCCACACACATACCCACACACACACGCACGCACGCACACGCACACGCACACCCACACGCACACCCACACACATACCCACACGCACACAGACAGACACACACACACAGCCGCGCACGCACAAGCGCATACTCCACCTTCTTGGGGGCTGGGGGCTTGTAGCCAAAGTAGTTTCGGCGGGAAGGTTGGGATGGCTCAGCAGCCTGCTTTGCCTTGGACAGGTTGTACAGGCGCTCAGCTGTTGAGCTGCGCGGTGCGGGTGGCGGCGCGGTCACTTCCCTGCGCACCTTAATCTTCCTCTGCTGTGCGGGCTTTTGTTGCTGCTGTCGCTGCTGCTCCTGCTGCATGCGGATATGTCGTGACTTTGCACTCGGCTTTTCCTCGGCGTCATGTCCGTCCTCCGTCTTGATGTCCACGTGGCGCTGTGCCCCTGCTCGTGGTGCTTTGACGCTGGCGGTGGTTGCTTTGGCAACTTCTGGGATATCAAGCGGCGGCGGCTTGACAAACACGGGTGCAGCTGCATCCGCTTGTTCTTGCTGCTGGTCTTGTTGTTGTTGTTGTTGCTGCTGCTGCTGCATGCTGCCGAGACCAGCGCCGGTGGTCTCGGCAGGTGCGACTACATCCTTGTCCTCCTGTTCTTCACCGAATGGGAGCGTGTCCTTGTGCCAATCAAAGGGAATGTGGCTGTATTCCCGTGCGCGGGAGCGGCGTCGTGACTCGAGCGTTTCACGGTAGCTCTCCAGCACCTATGAATGAGAAAGCGCAGGATTGAGGGGGTTGGTGGTTGGTTTTCGAGTACGTGAGTTTGTGTGCATGTGTATGTGTGAGTTTGTGTGCATGTGTGTGTGTGTGTGAGCTTGTGTGCATGTGTGTGTGCATGTGTGTAGATAAGTGTGCTTCTGTGTGCGTGTTTGGTTACTTGTTTGCTTACGTGTGTGTGTGTGTGTGTGTGTGTGTGTGTGTGTGTGTGTGTGTGTGTGTGTGTGTGTGTGTGTGTGTGTGTGTGTGTGTGTGTGTGTGTGTGTGTGTGTGTGTGTGTGTGTGTGTGTGTGTGTGTGTGTGTGTGTGTGTGTGTATGTGTGTGTGTGTGTGTGTGTGTGCATTTGTGTAGATAAGTGTGCTTCCGTGCGTGTGAAGGCGCAATACCACGCTTGTTTCGCGCGTGTTCATTCCAGCCCACCGTACCTCATCGATGGTGGCTGGCACATCGTGCATGTGCGCTCGCTTCTGCATGCAGTCCATGGCAGTGGCTCGTTTGATTGCTGGGGTTTGCCTGCTCAGCGTGCACCCTTGCTGTTGTCGTTGCCGTGGTCGTCGTGTGTCCTCGTCGCACCTTGCTTCGCCGCGTCCTTTTTTTTTTGAATTTTTCGCGGCGGACGATTTACCAGGTGGGTGTTTGATTTGCCCGATAAATAATTCTTGGGTATCACACACAAAATTTCGATCCCACACAGTCCTTGCTTGCTTGTTCATGCAAAAATAAGAAAATCTGCTGTCCACGCACAACACACGCGCGCCATCCACCCACCAACCAACCAATACACGCACAGTTTTTCCTGCTCTTCTTCTTTGTGTCGACTGAGACTACGAGCCACAACAAGCAAGGCCAAGGCTGCCCGAGCGGAACAAGAGGGGTGAGTCTCTTCCATGCGTGCGTGCGTGTGTGTGGTTGTGTGGTTGTTGTTGTGTACGCGTGGTATGTAGCGCCAATACCACCGTTGACAACAACCACAACAGCAACAACAATTGACTTGCTTTGACTTAGTTTCTCTCTGTCCTTTTGTTGGGGGGTGTGGCACCTGTCGTTTCGCGGATGGGCGGTGCGTTGGCTGGTTGCCGACTCAGATACCGCCCCGCCCCCTTATTTTTTTGTTTTGCTCCTTTCTTTGGGGGGGTGTGCTTGCATATCCTGTTTGTGTTGTGCTGGGTGGGTTGCGGAGTGGTCCTCCCATTCCCGTCACCCACGAACATGAGCCACGCCCTCCCCACCCCACCAACCACAAACACAAACACAAACACAAACACAAACACAAACACAAACACCACCCACTATCACCACAGCCCACCACCGCCACTCACAAACGCAAACACAAACACAAACACACAAACAAACCAGCATTCTCCCTCGTGAAAGCACCACACCCCTGCACACACTCTCGCCAACGCCAGCGCTCCAAGTACTCACAACCTCCCTGTCCGTCTTTTTTTTTCCACCTCTCCCTCACCCACCTACCTCTCTTGGTCCTTGCTTTTTGTGCGTGTTTGTTTGTGATAATGGATACGTTGCTGTGGGACGCGCTGCCTTTGTCACCACCAGCTGGTGCCTTGTTCGATTGCACAGAGGAGTGCGCATCTTCCCCTGCGCTGACCGAGCTCAGCATCATCACCTCCACAACCACTGGCAGCAGCAGCAGCAGCGGTCACAACAGCATCACCGCAACCACTGCCATGCCTGCCAACGATGACGGCAGCGCACCCCCGCCACAACCGCAAACACAACAACACGCACCCGTGAAGAAAGAAGAGCCCCCTGCTACAGACAACCACCAACCACAACCACAGCAGCAACCACATGACCAGCAAGAGAACCAAGCACAGCACCAAGCCGTCAAGGCAGAGGCTGCGGATGGCAGCATGCCCGCCCTGCGCATTGATCCGAACAGCGAGATGCGGGAGGAGCCTGCGTTAACCGTCAACACACAGCAGCCGCTCGCACCTGGGCTGCGCGTCTCCACAACCGACCAGCCCGCCAAGGGGGCCGGTGCACAGGCACAGGAGGGCGCATCGCAGCAGGCGCAAGACCAAACTCACAACAAAAACAATAAGCAGCAGCAGCAGCAGCCACAGCAGCAGATGATGATGATGATGCAGCAGATGCAGATGCCAATGCCACACATGGCCATGATGTCTCCACTAGGCTGGTCGCCTCTGCCGTACACCCCGGGCGGAGGCATGCCGTCTGGCGGCCAGGTCTCTGCGGAGCTGTTCCAGCGCCTGTTAAGTCAAGGCCCATCGGAGATGTCATCCGCCCAGTCCAACCCGGCCCTTGAGGAGCAGAAACGCGAGGCGTTTGTTGCGTCCGTGCGCCAGTACCACACCCAGGCGCTGCAGTCTGCCCCTTTGGCATCTGCACCCACCGCAACAACAACAACAACAACAACAGCGGCGTCCTCGTCAGCAGAGCAGGGCAGCACCAACGCCACGGGCGCAGATACCGACGCTGCCAACAGCGGGCAGGCGGCGCAGGTAGCGATGCCGCCGAGCCCGTGGGGGCTGCCCAGCCCAGGACACATGTTCCCGTCGCCAATGATGGGCATGGGCGTGGCCGTGGACAGCGAAGGTGCTCCCTTGAGCAACCCGTTTGCCCAGCAGCAGGCCCTGTTCTACATGCGCCCCGAGGAAGTCGCCTTCTGGGCGCAGCAGCAGCACCAGCACCACCAGCAACAGCAACAGCGGCGGCGGCGGCGGCGGGGAGCAGCAAGGAACGCGGGCGAGGACGGGGCTGGGGACTCATCTGACTCGTCGTCTGACTCGTCGTCTGATTCATCGTCTGATTCGTCCTCCTCGGAGCACCCTCGAACGACCAGCCGCGGCCACGCCGTCAGCGGCAGCAGCGCCCGCACAAGCAACAGCAGTGGCAGCGGCAGTGGCAGCGGTGACAGCAGCAGCGATAGCGGCAGCAGCAGTGACAGCAGCAGCAGCGACCGCAGCAGGGGAAGGAAGCGCAGTGGCCGCCAGCGACCAGCGGCTGGCCGGAACAAGGTGGCAAAAGCACCCGGCGCACGTGCAGAGGTGCCGATGAACATGGGCTTGCCCAGCGGAGGGATGGCGTGGCCGCTGCCCGGCGCACCAATGCACGTGGACACGAGCGCCCTGCAGACGGTGGAGGGCATGGTGTCGCCGTCGTTTCCGTCAGCGCCATTCCTCTCGCCCTTTCCCATGCCATTCCCCGTCCCTGGTAGCGGAGACGGCGACCGTGGCGCACACGGCAGCCCTGCCAACGGCACGACAGCAACAACAACAGCAGCAGCGTCATCGTCATCACAGCAGCAACAACAACAACAGCAACAACAACAACGCGGCCCCGCAGCACCACAGTACCCGAGCGTGGTGTACACGGATATGCGCAGCAATGGCCCGCCGTCGTCCACACACCCGATGCCGAGCGTGTACGTGCCCGTGTTCCACCAGCCAGTGCCGCCACTGGGCACGCCGCCCATGCACTCACCGCAGCCAGGCAGGCGACAGCAGAACAAGAACCAGGAGTCCCAAGCACAGCAGCAGCAGCAGCAGCCTGCGGGCGTGTATGCGGCGAGCGTGTACGCGCCGCACACGGCAGGTGTTCCGGTGGGGCGGCAGTTCATCATGATGCCGACTTCGCATGTGGAGGGAGGCACTGCCACGGGCGCATCAACCTCCATAGCGCCAACGCGTGCGACGGGCAGTGCCAACGGGGCGCCATCCACAGCCGCACAGAGGCGGTCAACAGCGGCGCAGTCATCATCATCGTCGACAGCGTCGCCGGCAGCTTCCCGTAAGGGGCGGGGCGGCCGCGGACGTGGCCGAGGTGGCGCTGCATCTGGCACTGGGTCTGGTGTTGGCACTGGTCGCCCTCGGAAGAAGGGCGAGAACCAGTTCCGCTGCACGTACAACGGCTGCGACAAGGTGTACTCCAAGTCGTCGCACCTCAAAGCGCACATGCGGCGGCACACGGGCGAGAAGCCGTTTGTGTGCACATGGAAAGGGTGCACGTGGCGGTTTTCGCGGTCAGACGAGCTTGCGCGCCACATGCGCTCGCACACGGGGGAGAAGCCGTTTGCGTGCGAGGAGTGCGGCAAGCGGTTCTCCCGCTCTGACCATCTCAAGAAGCACCAGCGCATTCACCTTCGCGGCAAGGGCACCTCGTAGCCAGCGTGTCTGTGATTGTGTGTGTGTCTGTGTGTGTGTGTGTGTGTGTGTGTGTGTGTATGTATGTATGTATGTGTCTGTGTGTCTGTGTATGTGTCTGTGTGTCTGTGTATGTGTCTGTGTGTCTGTGTGTATGTGTGCCTCCGTGTTGAACATGCGCATATCTTGTGAACACAACACAAATCGTGCTTGGATCCCTGGCTTCTTTTCCACAGGGTCCATGGGGGTGCATGGCTTGAAGCCTTCAACCACGTGTGCCCCCCCCCCCCTCCCGCTTCCCACACTTTCTTTATGATGCCAACCATGTTGTTGATAGAGAAGAGAACAACAGCCACCAGTAAACGAATCGTCCAGCCAGCCAGCCAAACCACCAAGCACGCAGCCAGCAGCCAATCATAACAATAATTTGTGGTGTCGTGCGTGTCATATCCACAACGAACGGCAATCAACACCAACACCAACAGACAGCGAAGAGCAGCACGATGCGGCGGCGTTCGACCTCTGGGCGGCCCGGTGCGCCGGGGAGGCCGCCACCACCAAAGGCAACGGCCCTGCAGGGCCTGCTGGAACGCATGAGGCCACAGACCACCAAGTTGGTGTATGACTTTGATGAAAGCGAAGGCATTGTCGCCGACATCAACCAGTTCTTCTCTCATGAGGATTGCGAGCGATTCCTCAAGACGCTTGTCTCCGATTCCCAACGTCAGCTCGGCTGCATGCTTGCTTGTGTGTGTGTGTCTGTCTGTCTGTCTGTGTGTGTGTGTGTGTCTGTCTGTCTGTCTGTCTGTGTCTGTCTGTCTGTGCGTGCATGTGTGTGTGCATGTGTGTGTGTCTGTCTGTGTCTGTCTGTGTCTGTCTGTCTGTGTGCGTCTGTCTGTGTGCGTGTCTGTCTGTCTGTCTGTCTCTGGATCTGTATCTGTGTGTATCTGTGTGATGCGTTGACAATGGCTTCCCATGTTTTCCGTTCTGTCGCCATCTCTGCATGTCTGCCCACCCCTCATCTATTCGAACTGTCGATACATCTGCCAACCTCGGCTGTTGCTGCGTCCATCACTTTTGATATGCAGGCATTCCCCAAGACACATCCACCGACGCGGTATGTTGTTTCATGCTCGCCCGCGGGTGCGTGTTTGCGTTGATAACCTGATGCTGACGTCTGCATTCGCAATCCTCCTCATGCCGCACGCACACGCGCATGCCATATGCATTGCTCATACGCACCCCATTTTGTGTGCCTGCTCGCAGCAAGATGTCCCCTTCGATGAGTACCACCACGAGTACGCGTGTTTCTGGCTCGCCCACTGCTTGGGTTCGTACGAGTGTCCGCGCATCCGTATTCCAATGGCTGCTGTTTGTGTACGCTGTCCTTCGTGTGACACACACACACACACACACACACACACACACACACACACACACACACATACGCGCACACGATTCGGCTCACTGCTTCGCACACGTTCGTGTTCGTGGACAGGCTTGCACGCGGACCCAGCGCAACCACTGGAGGAGGTCGTGGTTGACCGGGCAGTTGCAGCGTTCAACAAGAACGTCCTGCAGCAGATTCTTCCACATGTCATGCATGCGCCCATCTCGCAAGAGGACGCATCCACATTCTCCATCACCCTCGCCGTGGTGTACCTTATCTTCCATGCTTTTGTCACCATTCAAACCGTAAGATGATGAACTCGTGTGTGTGTGTGTGTGTGTGTGTGTGTGTGTGTTGTGTGTGTGTGTGTGTGTGTTTGTGTGTGTTTGTGTGTGTTTGTGTGTGTATGTGTTCCCCCGCCGCTCTCGTTCATTTAAAGCTGACGCTGCAGTCATCCCCTGAAATGCAACAGAAGCCCGACCAGTACGCCCAATTTCAGCCTCAGGCAACACAGTTCCGCGAGTTCCTAGGTGCGTGTGTGTATATATGTGTGTGTGTGTGTGTGTGTGTGTGTCGGATATCATTCACGTGTGCTGCTGATGCTGCAACAGCTTGTCAACCAGCTCACGCAACATACACCCCCCATCATCATCGTCATCGCCACAGTGTCACAGGATGCTCTGCTGCCAGCGCTGGCTGCTCGCATCACCGCGTCGCTCAGCTCAGCCGTCCTTCCAACATGCAAACTCGCCCTTGTCCTGTGGAAGTTTCTTCAGGTATATCGTGGCGGTGGCTGGTGGTGTTTTGTGTTGGAGATTGATGTGCTGCTGGTGGTGATTTGTTGTACTAGAATGCGTGATGAAATCGTCTGTGAGAATTACTTGATCCATCCCAGTACCTCACGCCACCATCATCATCACTGCCAACACAGGTCCGTGTCGGCACGCTCGCTGCTTCCAACGACTTCAGACGTCGCCGTCGCGCGCAGTACGGGCTTACTGAGGTGTGTGTGTGTGTGTGTGTGTGTGTGTGTGTGTGTGTGTGTGTGTGTGTGTGTGTGTGTGTGTGTGCCTGCGCAGTTCGTGATTGCTGTTTTCTCACGTCGTTTGTATTCGTGGTGTGCATGTGCTCGTATTGCACTGTTCTGCTTCGGATCATCAGCCAACGCCCGCGCACGCCGGTCACATGCAAGCGCCAGCAAAGGTGCGGACAATCCTGCTACATGGCACGAAGTGCTGTGCGTTTGGCCGACCGACACACACACTCACACACACTCACTCACTCACTCACTCACTCACTCACTCACTCACTCACTCACTCACTCACTCACTCACTCACTCACACCATACCCTTCCTCTTTCTCATTGACATCGTGCGCATTTCTGAGCCTCCCTCAACCCCACCTTGGCACTTTATCTTCGTCGTCTTGTCTCTGTTGTTTGTGCAGAGCACACTGAGCGATGTTGAGCAGTACGTGCAGCGCGCCAGTGGGCAGTTTTCGTTCGTGCGCGACCCAAAGACGGGCGAGTTTGACTATCCTCCATCTGTGAAAGAGGGACACAACGTCTTGCTCAAGGTATGCCCCCTTCTTGTCTGTGTGTCTGTGTGTCTGTGTGTCTGTGTTTGTGTGTGAGTGAGAGAGAGAGAGTTCCTTGGCGCGCTTTGTTGCTCAGAGGTCTCACACCGACCACTTTGAACCCCTCTCATATGCACCTAAATATGTCACACACACACCCTCGTACACGCGTGCGCTCCCTCTGTGTGTGGAACAACAGCACCTGTATGTGCCGCTGTCAGAGCTGCATCGGCGGGACGAGGAGGAGTTTTCGCGGATTGCGAAACGCGATGAAGTTAAACGCATTTACAATGCGCGGCGTGATCCAAGCATTGAGCAGTTTTACACAACGTTTCGGCCCGTCATGAAGGAGACAGTGGTGAGTGGCTGCAATACTTTGGAGAGGATGTGGGTGGTGGTGTGCAATTGTCAGTCGTGAAATCGCAGCAGTGTGGCTTGTTGATTCGGCGCGTGAGTGCTCGAATGCTTGACTGCTCGAATGCTTGCATGCTTCCTGCGTCCACACATGGATGTACGCACTGAAACAGACGCACAACCCTGGAAACAAGCACTCACACTTCGACGACAATCTCAATGCTCTGTGTGTGTGTGTGTGTGTGTGTGTGTGTGTGTGTGTGTGTGTGTGTGTGTGTGTGTGTGTGTGTGTGTGTGTGGGCGAGTGTAGAAAGCGCTGCTTGTGCTGCTGCTCCACTGCCGACCGGCGAAAGAGGATCTCCCTGGCGACCACAACTTCTGGCGCGCCGACATTCTGCAGCCAGGTGCGCTGGCCCTCTCTTGAATCGTGCGTGATTGTCATTGCATGGTGAACATTTGGCTCACGGTATGCCGTGCTGTGGCGTGGCTTGCTCTTGTTTTGTTTTGTGTGTGTGTGTGTGTGTGTGTGTGTGTGTGTGTGTTTTTGGTTCTTGTTGCTGATGTTGTTCTTGATGTTGGCACTGCGGGCGTGGTCGTTGCTGTCGCTCACGTGATCCCACCACCTCATCGCTGCCGCATGAGCAGATATGGCCAGCCAGCCACTGGGGAAGTTGCAGCTGCACTCGCTTCGGCGCACACAGGAGGTTGCACTCAAGGCCGTGTCGTGCTCCCTCCTCATCCTCATGAAGTACCTCAAGGTGCGTGCTTGCAAGCACGATGCTGACACCACGCGCTGCTGACAATCTCACGTGCGGGGTGCAAGTGTTTGCTCTGGCCTCACTTCAGGACATGCACGTTTACCTTTAAACACCGCCCCTCACTCGCAAACACACACACACACACACACACACACACACACACACACACACACACACACACACACACACACACACACACACACACACACACACACACACAAACACACACACACAACCTCCGTTCTATCGCAACCACACGCAACGTGTGCAGAGCAACCACTTTTTGCAGTTTGAGGAAGTGTGCATGCAGGTTGTCGACTGCAAAGGCATTCCCGTCATCCTCCGTCTTCTCAACCAGAGCATCGAGCGATTTGCAACCGCTTTCCACGAGTAAGCCGTCACGGGCATGTGTGTGCGTGCGTGTGTGTGTGTGTGTGTGTGTGTGTGTGTGTGTGTGGTGGTGGTGGTGGTATTGAGGATTTGTGGTTTTGGTGTTGTGTGGTGTGGTGGTGTGGGTGTGTGGGTGTGTGGGTGTGTGGGTGTGGGGGTGTGTGTGTGTGTGGGTGTGGGTGTGTGTGTGGGTGGGTGGGTGTGTGTGTGGGTGTGTGTGTGTGTGTGTGTGTGTGTTTGAAAAGACTCATGGTGGCGGGCCGATCGCGTGACCTGTGCCCCTATCTGCTTCCTCCCCTTTGGTCGTGTCGATTCTGTGCAGCGGTGCAACGCGCCTGGCGCTCGCGTATCTGTGGCCGCAACATCAGAGTGGACCAAATCCATACGTTCCAGTCCCGCCAAAGAAGCCAAAACTCTCAAAGGCATCCGCAGGTGTGGGTGTGGGTATGGGTATGTGTGTATGTGTGTGTGTATGTGTGTGTGTGTGTGTGTGTGTGTTTCGACGTCGCGTGCCTTCCTTTTGTTCCATTTCGTGCTCACATGCGTCCGCGTGCGTTTGTGTGCGCCGTCAGACAAAGGTGACGCGAACGATGTGGCGGGCAAGAAGAGCGGAAATGGCAATGACAAGACGGAGAAGAAGGCCGCTAAACCACAACAACAACAACAACAACAACAACAACAACAACAACAACAACAACAACAACAACAACAACAACCAGATGAGGCTGGCGCGTCGTCAAAGGATGAGAGCAGCGACAACAGCGACAGTGACGATGAGCAAGGCAACGATGGCAGTGACAGTGGTGGTGGTGATGCAGAGAAGAAGGAGAAGGAGAAAGAGGATGATGATGATGGGAAGAAAGGCGGCAAGCAGAAGACCGATGACACAGACAAGAAGGAAGAGGACGATGGGAAGAAGGAAGAGGAGGAAGGACAAAGCGAGCAGCCATCGCCCGAAATTGATCTCGTTTGCAAGCGGAACCTCTTCTCCCTCATCTGCTTGATTCGCGTGCTGCAGGCAAGTGCGGTGTGTCTGTGTGTCTGTGTGTCTGTGTGTCTGTGTGTCTGTGTGTGTCTGTGTGTGTCTGTGTGTGTCTGTGTGTGTGTGCTTTTGGAAATTCCTCTTCGTTCTCACAGCAGACCTACCACCCCATCCTCTACACACACACACATGCACACCAACATGCACACACTCGTGCATACCAACATCCGCATGCACACACACCACAGAAAATTGTGAAGAACAAGCCTGCGCGATGTTTTGTGCTTGGAACGGAGAAAGGCGCCATGATTCTGAAACGGGCGCTGAAAGTGGAGCACCCGATGCTGAACCTCTACACACTCAAGGTGCCCAAACCACACAAAGTGCAGTTGCGCCATGCCTGTGGTCGTGTGCAAGTGACCTGAATTGGGTTCTTGCTGCTTTGTTTGAGAAAGTAGACGGTGCAATGATGAGCCAATGCCGTACTTGGGCTCACTCACGTTTGTTTTTATTTGTGCTTGTGTTGTATTGCAGGTGTTGAAGAACATTGTGCGCTTTCTCCCTCGGGGCTGGCGCAAATCCAACATGCACCTCATCTCAAGGTTGGTAGTTTGCTGCTTCAGGCGTACCCGTTCGTGTGCTCTGGTTGCATCCTACTACCACACTGCTGCACACACGCACACTCACTCACACACACACTCACTCACTCACTCACTCACACACACACTCACACACTCACACACTCACTGACATGCATGCACATGCACATGATGGTGTTTCCAGGGTTGACCAAACGGTTCGGCAGCAGATTATGGACGATTGGCACTTTGTTCCATCGCCCATGGAAGGGGTATGTCGGGAGCGTGCAAGTACTCACACACGCTCACTCACTCACTCACTCACTCACTCACACGCACACTCACTCACTCACACACTCACACGCTCACACACACACACTCACTCACTCACACGCACACTCACTCACTCACTCACACACACACACACTCGCTCACTCACACACGCACATAAGCACACACACGCACTCACACTCACGCACACGCACTCACTCACGCACATACAACACTGCAGGGCCCACTGCCGAACAAGGATGCAGAGGAGGAGATGCTGACGGAGGAAGTGCGCGAGTTTGTGGAGCGGCACTACCAAAAGCGCCGCGTGTGCGGTGATGGATGGCTGCCTTCGTCCGTGGTGGAGGACCTTACCGACATGACAGTGGACACACTTCTGGCGGAGTTTGATGAAGCGAGCCATCCTCTGCTCGACATTGACTTCCAGCTCCTCACAACAGACTGACGAACGTCTGACCTTCCTGCCTGCCTGTACAACCAATTACGCCTGTGTGTGTGTGTGTGCCTGTGTGTGCCTGTGTGTGCCTGTGTGTGCCTGTGTGTGTGTGTGTGTGTGTGTGTGTGTGTGTGTGTGTGTGTGTGTGTGTGTGTGTTTATGTTACATTGACGTGAGTCGCTCGCTGCGCTGACTGCTTTTGTTGCCCTTCTGTTGCTTGTGCTGCTTGCCACGCCCCCTGCCGCACGCATTGTTGGTGCTATCCACACGATATACATTTCGCACACAAAATGGCTTGTGCCTGCAAGCAGTGGGTGGTTGTTTGGATTTTGTGTGTCCGACCAAAACGCCGCACAAGCAAGCACCACCACCCAGCCCGCAGTGCGCATTTCCCCCTTTCTGACTCGCGCTTGCTGTCCTTGCCTTGTGTTGCATCTCTGCTTTGAGGTTGTGCTTTGTGCTTGTGCTCCTCTTTCCCACCAACACAAAGCCAAGAGCGTAACAGCAGCAGCAACAGCAGCAGCAGCGACGGCAAGGCACCATGAGTGGTGACAGCTCGCCAGATGGCGTGACGACCGCGTTCCTGACAGGATTCCTGCAGGATCTGAAGAAGAAGCACAGCGATCATGACTCACTGACGACAAAGGAGGTCTGTGAGCGTGTCGTCTTGCCGGAGATCAAGGCACAAAACGCGCCGTATGTGGAGGCGATTCGACAGAAGGACCCCAAGGCTGTTGGTGCCGCCACCATGCACGTCGTGCATGCGTGGGACAACAAGATCGTGCCGCTGCTCGAAACCCTGATTGAGTTTGGAAGCGCAAACGCGGACACCGTCTTCTGGCTGGATCTCTTCTGCATCAACCACCCAAACACGGACAACCTCTCAAAGAAATGGTCAGTCAAGATGGTATATGCGTGTGTGTGTGTGTGTGTAATGTGTGTGTGTGTGTGTGTGTGTGTGTGTGTGTGTGAGTAATGTGTGTGTGAGTAATATGTGTGTGTGTGCGTAATGTGTATTAGTGTGTTTATGTGTCTGTGCATGTATGTGTCTGTGTGTCTCTGTGTATGTGTGTGGAGATTGTGGAACGCCATCGCCATCGCCATCGCCATCGCCATCATGGCTGCCGTGCTGTCAAGTTTGCTTCAGCTACCGCGTTTTGCACCCCACCATGTCACAAACCCCTCCCCATCTTGTGTTTCGCTGTCAATGTTCACCTCCACAACACAGGTGGACCAAGACGTACACGGACATGATCGCCGACCGCGGGCAGATGATGCTTGTGCTGTCTCCCTGGGACGACCACGCGCCCTTCCAGAACGCACAGTGCCTGTGGGACATCTACAGCGGCATGCACGAGCGCAAGGTGCGGCTGTTTGTCCACCTCTCAAAGGCGCAGGAGGCCGCGTTCAAGGAGGCCATGCTCAAGGACGCCGAGCACGTCACGGACACGCTGCGCAGCGTGGAATCGCACAAGTGTGCCGCAGCAACAACCACGCAGACGGACCTCCTGCGCACCGCCATCAAGGACAACATCGGGTTTGCCAGCCTGGACGCGAAGATCAAGCACATGCTGAGCGGCTGGTGCCTTGAGCACGCGTCCGACTACGTGGACGAGCTCAAGGCGCAGGGCAAGAACGAGACTGTGGCGTACGGGCAGCTCGGCGCCCAGGTCGGCGTGCTGCTGTGGGAGTTTGACCAGCACGAGCCCGGCATGGAGTACTTCCAGACGGCGCTGCAGGTGTGCTCGCAGTTTATGGGCCAAGAGGACCGCACGCTGGCCAGCGTGTTCCGCCGCCTGGGCGTGTGCCTGCTGCAGGTGGGCGAAGTCGACACAGCCATCAACTGCTTTGAGCGCGTGCTGCAGATCACGCACGCAACCGTTGGCGAGATGCACACGGACACCGCAGACATGTTCAAGATTGTCGGCGACACGATGCGCGCGCGCGGTGCACAGGAGGGCGCCATCAAGTACCACTCCAAGGCCCTCGAGATCCGCCTGCACGTGCTCGGGGAAGACCACGACGACACGCGCGAGTCCCGCCGCGATGTTGCGCAGGCATATGAAAGCAAGGGCGACTACACCACCGCCCTGGAGCACCTGAACAAGGCCCTGGAGGTGATGGAGGGCAAGGAGTACGGCCCATACGACACGACGCTGGCCGCCGTGTACAACCAGCTCGGGCGCGTGTATGCCCGCACGAAGCAGAACGACGAGGCCATCCGCTACGCAGAGAAGGCGCTGGAGATGTTTGAGAAGGCGTATGGCGAGGACCACCCGGAGAGCGCAAGCAGCATCAACGTCCTGGCCCAGGTGTACCAGAACAAAGGCGACACCACGCGCGCCATCGAGTACCTGCACCGCGCGCTGGAGGTGGATATGATCACCGTGGGCATGAACCACCCCTCAACCGGCCTGACGTTCCGCAACCTGGGCGTGGCGTACGCCGCCAAGGAGGACTACGAGCAGGGCATCGAGTACTGCCAGACGTGCGTGAACATTCTCACGGACACGCTCGGCCGCAACCACCCACAGACGCGGATGGCGCAGCAGCACCTGCAGGCAGTGCGCCAACAGCGCGACGGCAAGCAGGGCGGCCGTGGGGGCGGTGGCGGCGGCATGACAATGAGCGACCTGCTTCTCCTCGGTCTGCTTGCCGGCATGTCCGGCGGGGAGAGCGGCGGCAGCGGGGAGCAGGAGACGTCAGACGCCAACGACGACGGCAGTGGGAAAGGGGGAGAGGAAGCAGGGGATGGCGGTGATGCTACTGGCGCCGGGCAGGAGCCGGGCACCGCAGGCACGCAAGCGCGCTCGGGCGCAGAGGCAGCGCCAAAGGAGGAAGTGAACCTCAACCCGGAGAGCAACCCCAACACGACGACAGAGAACATCACGCGTCGCGCGTCGCGGGCGGCCAAGTACGCGAGCATGCGCCGCCGCAAGAGCACGGCGTGGGCGGGCGACTCGGATGAGAAGACCAACGATGGTGAAGACGCGATGCCTGCAAGCACGCAAGCTTCCGAGGCGACCATGGCCGCCGGTGCCACCAAGGTCACAGAGACCAACTTTGCTGACAACAGCGACAAGAAGGGCGACAAGGAGGCGCGTCGTGACTCGTCCAGCGTGCCCGTTCACAAGTCATGCTGCGCCATACTTTGAAGGCCGGGAGGGGCTTGAAGAGTTGAGGGAAGCTCTTCTGCTGCGTGTGTGTGTGTGTGTTTGAGTTTGCTTGTTTGCTTGGTTGCTTGTTTGGTTCCTTGCTTGCTTCGTGCTTGTTTGTTTTTGTTTTTTTGTTGGCTCGTGTGTTGTTGTCGCTTCTCTGCTCAAAAGTGAGCCAAACGCACAAGCTCGTTATGTCAACACGTTACCTTACAGCTACTATTTCGTTGGTCTTTGATTCACAGCAACGACACCAAAGTGCGATAACAATGCATGCAGAAGCTAACAGCGTTCAAACAGACAACAATAACAGTGAGCCAAGCACATGCACGAACAAACTAAACTCGTTGAACCAATGAACCAAACCAACGAACAAAACCAAACACAAGAGAAACACACAGAACAACAACAACAACAACTTAAACAACAACAACAACTTAAACAACAACTTAAACAACACACCAACTTCAACAACAACAACACCGGCTTAACCAACAACAACACAATGCTCAGTGCTCGAGGGCGATGATGGCTGCAGCGCCCATGCCCATGCCAACACACATGGACACGATGCCCGTGTTGAGGTTGTTGTCCTCAAGATAGTGAATGAGCGTCACCACTTGCCTCGCGCCCGTGCACCCGAGCGGGTGACCGAGAGCAATGGCGCCACCGCGCGGGTTCAGCTTCTCCCGAGGAACACCAAGCTCCTCCACGCAGTACACGGCCTGGCATGATGGCCACACGTTAAGTCGTGATGGCAGTTGGAGGATGTGGCGAAAAGGGCGGGGTGGCAACAGCCGTGAGCGTGCGTGGTGAGTGATGCAACAACAGCACATTCCATACAATATGATTTGTGTGCTTTGCAGAGCGATCGCAGTTGCGGCGCGCGGCTCTGACCATATGTTGTACGCACCACACACACACATTCACACAACGCACAACACACACACACATGCACACAACGCACAACACATACACACACACACATTCACACAACGCACAACACATACACACACACTCTCTCTCTCTCTCTCTCTCACACACACACACACATACACACACACACACCAATCCCACCTGGCTGGCGAACGCCTCGTTAATTTCAAACACGTCAATGTCGTCCATGCGCATGCCTGCTTTCTCCAGCACCTTTGGGATGGCAACAGCAGGGCCGATGCCCATGATATCGGGGGGCACCCCGCACACCTGGGCAGCGAAGGAGGTGGGGAACGAGGGAAAGGCATGTTTTGTGGGTAAAACAACCAAATGGACAGCCTTGCAAAGAAAGAGGCATGAAGACGGGCACGGACCCGTTGGCGGAGACGAGGGCACACACATGAATCAATACGTGCACACATAAAGCATTACGCACACACACACACACACACACATACGCACCGCCGATGCAACGATGCGTGCTCGTGGCTGGAGCCCGAGTTCGCGCGCTTTCCGCCGTGACGCAAGCAGTACCGCCGCTGCACCATCGCTCACTTGACTACTGTTGCCTGCAAGCAACGCAACGGAGGATGCACAGAGAATCAGCCTTCTTCATCACACACGAAAACGCGCGCATGCGCACATGATAACGCAGCCGTATTTATCGACATGAATGCTTTCATCACCTGCTGTTGTGCTGCCGTCGGGCTTAAACGCGGGTCTCAGTTTGCCCAGTTTCTGTTAACAGCACAGCGTTGATACGGACACATGAATTTGGCTGTGAGGGAAGGGTTCAGAGCACACGTGCAAAACGGTCCGCTCACAAAAACACACTCACACACACACACACTCACACACACACACACTCTCTCTCTCTCTCTCTCTCACGCGCGCGCGCGCGTACACACACACACACACACACACACACACACACACACACACACACACACACACACACACACACACACCTCACATCCTCCATCACGCATGCTGCAGTCACCTCTGCTGTTGTCTGGGGACGGATGCCATCGTCCTCGACCACCACGGGCCCCGGCACCAGCTCCCCATCCTCGCCCTGCACACGACCATCATAAACGAGAAATATGCCGGACGCTGAGCGGGGCAAGCACATACACAGGGCGATCAAGAGGCAGCACAGATGCGATTGGACAGTCGCGGTATGCGACTGTTGCGGTGTGGCACACACGCACACACACAGGCGCACACACGCACGTTAGTGCATGCACAACAACACAAACGCATACATGGACACACACACACACATCACACCACACATTCACACACACAAACACACACCTTCACGCGCGAGAGCGTCGGAACGATTTCTCGTACGAATCCGTTGCTGGCTTGGGCCTTTGCAGCCCGCCTGATGACGACGGTGGTGGCGTGTGATGAGGTGGCGATGGAATGCAGCGTGAAAGAGATGCAACCCAGGCACATACACGTGCAAAAGCACATTCATTGAAGCACACACACACACATACACACACACACACACACACACACACACACACACACGACACGACACACACACACGAGCTGTATCTCGCAACGTGGATGACCCTGTTATCTGCAGTCACTGAGTTGTTGAGCGCTGTCACTGTGGCCCCAAGCATTTTAACCCACCCGCGCCTCAATCATGAGCAAGGCTTATTGGTGAAGTAGCGTAGAAATCTCGGTATTCATTCTTCTACCGCATTCAGCGTACCTTGGACGTTATTTCCTCGCGGATCTAACAGGAGATACGTAAGCTTGCGTCGAAGCCTCTTTCCGGAACCCGAGGCCGATGATTTGTCTGCGAGACCGGGCGAGATCCTTTTAATCGATCCTCGACGGCTCGCAAGTCGAGGTTCGCCTATACACACACATACACACACACACACACACACACACACACACACACACGCACACACACACACACACACACAAACAACACAAACATGCACACACACACACAAGCACACACACAAGCACACACACAAACACACACACACAACACAAACATGCACACACACACACACACAAGCACACACACCTTTGGCCTGATTTGATCCATTGATCGCTCAGACATTGACTCGACGCCTGCGCCGATGCCGAGATCAATGGTGCCCGTGCGAATCTCTCCTGCGACAGTCATAATCGCCTGGTCACGACAATCCCCACAGGAGCATGCGGCACAGTGAGTGAGTGAGTGTGCGTGTGGGGGGGGGAGTGGAAATGATGGGGATTGGCGATGTGTGAATAGCAACCAGTGCGCTGAACATGTACTAAGACCAGCACGACACTAAACCAAGCAGCACCTGAAGGCCGGAGGCGCATTGTCTGTTGAGGGTAACGGTCGGCACAGTGTGCGGGATGTCTGCCAGCAACTGCGCAGTGCGGGCCATCAAGATGCCCTGCGTGCGTACACACACATACACACACAGACACACACATTCACAATGGCAGGCAGGTACTCAAACGCCCATGAGTAAGAGCGCATACACATACCAGGACATGGTGGGATAAAGGGTCAGTTTTGGCAATGTGTGTGGTCACAGCATGCGGTTGAGTTGTGTGCACACCTGATCTGCGAGGACATTACCGACGACAACGTCTTCCACTTCTTCCGATGCGATGCCTGCTTCCTCCACCACCGATCTCAGCACTGCATGGTGTCCAGATACGAGATCGAGCGAGAGGCAGTGATGAGCGCGTCTGGCAGAATCTACGGTGTTCACGCTTGTACACGCACGCACACACACGCACACACACACACAACACAAACAAACAAACACACACAAACGCACACACACACACACACAAACACACACAAACACACACAAACGCAAACACACATGTGGGCTAGCGCTAGACCTGCTTCAAGGAGGTCGCCTGCTGGGGTGTCGCGGAAGCCGCCGCGCTTTGCTTTGCAGATTGGCGTGCGCTTGCACCCCAAAATGACCACATCCTCATCCTGGCGGTTCAATGCAGCACCAGCTGCGATGTGCATGCGTGTGCGTGTGTGCATGAGCCGTGAGCTGGAGGGAAGAAGGAGAGAGGAAGATGCACACACACACAAGCACATGCACATGCACACACACACACCAACACACACACACACAAGCGCACACAGCCTCATACAAAGCACCAACAACAACAACAACAACACACACACACACACACACACACACACACACACACACACACACACACACACACAAGCGCAACGCACTGGCGATGTGCTGCAGCAGCCTTGACGCTCGCTCCATGGTTCTTGGCGATTCGCTGAAGATACCCGAAGAAATTCCACGGTCACCTTCTGCTGACAAAGCAAGCAAGAAAGCAAGAAGAAGCGATTGCTTTTGCACCCACCACTTTGCTTGCACCACCACCATCAAAGTCAACCTCGCTCCAACGATTCAACGAAGCTGTTCACGACAGACAGACAGACAGACAGACAGACAGAGCACAGAACAAGAACGAGGGCAGAAAGACAGCACAGCACAGCACAGCATAGCACAGCACAGCACAACACCATGTCGGACCATCCCAGTTTGGAGTCGATCGAGGCAGGCGAGGAGTTCAACCTCGAGTCTGCCCGCGCAGTTGTCAACGGCATCGCCAAGGATGGCGACGACCTTCTCGCCGTGTACGCTGTTGAAGTCATCAAGAAGGTGTGTTCAAAAAAAAAAAAAAAAGACAAGCCCCTGCTCTTGTCATGACAAGATGGTGGTTGTGTGGCCGTCATAGCATGGAGCATGGAGCTCGAATGCAAGCAAAACTTCTGGCATTCTGACTCACACAAAGATAAACACACACGCGCACGCACGTTCCGTGTTGCTGGCCCTTATACCGTTGTGCCATGTCATGTGGATGTGGATGTGAACAGCACTTAAAGTCGAAGGTGGAGCTCGACCTTCTGCTGGAAGCTGGTCTGACAGATGCCATGAACAAAGTGCTGGACGCTGGTCACGAAGGAGACGTCATGACATCACGCGTCCCTTCCATGCTGGAGCTTGCTGCCCACGCTCTCAAGTTCGAGGTATGGCTGTTGGATTGGGTGGCATTCGCACACACACACATGTACACGTGTGGGTGTGCTGTCTGAACCCACATGATACTTGCATGGCGCGACGGTGTGTGTGTGTGTGTGTGTGTTTGTGTGTGTGTGTGTTTGTGTGTGTGTGTGTGTGTGCGTGTGTGTGCGTATGCTGTGTACCAAGGGTTGAGTGGATCAACGTCTCGGCCAGTGGTCACAAAACCATGGCGTGCTGCCAACCGCTTGATTGATTGATGACGACAGGGAGCATTTGAGAAGCTGGATGCAGAATGCAACGTGATGAAGCACCTCGCCCAGTACACGGCCTCTGCCAACCAGCCCGTTAAGGTATTGAGTTGTCTGTGAAGTGAACAAGGGCAGTCTGCGACTTGCACATGTAATCGGAACACCGCTTTATCGCTTCCACCTCATACACACAAAATCATGTCATGACATGTGCACGCACCAAATCGCACACACGTGTGCAGGCGAGTGCCTTCAGTGCAACAGCCGACCTTGCACTGTGCACCGCAAATGAAGGGACCATCTTGGCCAACGCGCACTACGGCACAGCGCTCGAGAACATGACGCGGGCAGCGTCGCTCGGCGGCCAGTCCGAGGTGCAGGTGCGCCCACATTCAGGGAGGGACGGATGAATGAACGCTTTGTTTGTTTGCGTTTGTGTGTGTGTGTGTGTGTCTGTGTGTGTGTGTCTGTGTATCTGTGTGTGTGTGCGTGTGTGTGCGCGCGTGTGTGTGTGTGATTGTGTGAAGGGCCTTGCAGTGGTGACACGTTGTTGTGCTGACGAAAACATTTCCCCTCTGATGTGTTGCGTGTGCGAATTGAAGGTGCATGCACTCCACTGTCTTGCGGCGACATTCACACGGCTGTCAGAGGTGGGTCACAGCATCCTGTTCATGTCTCGCCCTGCGTCGTGCCGCTGATTACATCCGCCATTCTCTTGCGCAGCACTACGCGTGATCCTTTCACACACTCACACTCACTCACTCACACACACGCACACACTTCAGGCTGGCTCTGAGCGCGCGTTTCAAATTGTCAACGAACATGTCTTCAATGGAGGTGCGGCCACGTGTGTGTGTGTGTGTGTGTGTGTGTGTGTGTGTGTGTGTGTGTGTGTGTGTGTGTGTGCGTGTGTGTGCGTGCGTGTGTGTGTGTGTTGTTGTGTCTACTTGTGTGAACGTACTTGTCTAGCTCAATCTGTGTGTTCAACGACCACAAACATATCAGCTCACTGCGTTCAGCTGCCATCCCCCCCTCCTCACCCTCCTCTTCACCACCCACCCACCAACCATCCTGGCAATGCCAGAGCGGCTGCTGTCGCGCCTTGTCCACCTGATGAAGGCCGCGTTTGAGGACGTCAATACCGCCGCCCACGCCGTGCTTGCAGGCATCTGCCATCACGCATGGGGCCGCAAGGTTGGAGAACCCATGTGTTTCCGTGTGTTTGCGTATTTATGTCTGTGTCCGTGCCTGTGTGCGCGCGTTGAATGAAATTCGATAGCGCTCTTCCGTACTCAGCCCAGCCGCAAACTCCCCCCCCCACACACACACATCCTCATCATCGTCACCACCACCACCACCACCAGATGCTTGATTCGCAGCCGGCGTTCTACGAGCAGGCCACTGATCGCAACAGCGTGCGCTCGTATGAGGTGACAAAGCTCCGACACAAGATTGCCTCGGTGGGTTGTCTGGTGTTGTCTTCCAGGGTGCAGTTGCGCACATGTGCATGAATTCACGCTTGTTGTTGGCTCGGATTGACTTTTGGCTCTCGTGTGCTCGCGTCAGCTGACCCGTTCATTACAACATACAGCCATCACCACGTCTCATATCAACACACTTCACCACCATCATGGCGCACCACATCACCGCCACACGGCTGCCAGCTGTATGCGGCGAACAAGGACGAAGGGGTTGACCCCGTGCACCGGGCACGCTATGCAGTGATGGTGGAGGAGGGCGCGTTTGCAAAGGACGTCGTGCCGCGTGTCGAGGTGGCAACAGAGAGCTGAGCACTTCCACGCACACGCACACGCATACGCACACATGTGCACGCGTGGGCAACTCGCATGGCCCGCCGCTATGGCTGTTGCAGTTGACGACGTTGTTGCTGTTGTTGTTGTTGTTGTTGTTGTTGCTGTTGTCGTCGTCGTGGTTGATGTTGTTCCATTGTTGCAATTGCGTGCTTTGCTGTTGAAGACTACTAACAGCTGTTACACATCACTCTTCACAACGGTGTCCCATATCATGTTTCCAATTGTTGTTGCGGTTGGTGCCCCCACGTGCCTTGTGATGACCCAGTAAACCGACTGTTGCACCAACGAGTTGGATGCTGTTGTGTACTTGCACGGTCACATTGTGGACAGCGCCATGCAACACAACGCAACACAACACGCACATGTTACACACGTACACGTACACACACGTACACGTACACACACGTACACACACGTACACAACAACAATGACGCAATGTGCACACGTGCACACGCACACGTACACACGCACACGCACACGCACACACGCACACGTACACACGCACACGTACACATGACGCGTGCTGGTCTCTGCCAAGACGAACAAGCTAAGTCGACACCTCCACCTCGCTATCCACGCAGAATCACCATACACAGCACAGGGCACACGGTGCTGCATGATACATATCAACCAATGCCCACGACGGTCCCTCCCCTTGCACATCCCTCCTTTCTCCCTTCTTCTTCTCCTAACACCCTATGTTCTGCCACCACCATCATTGCGCCTAGCACTCGTGCGAGCGGGTGTTTGGGGACTGGTCGCGCGGCGGCTGGAACGTGCACAGCATGGGGTCGCCCTCCTTGCCCGTCTGCCGAAAGTGCTCTGCGCCGCTGTTGAGTTCATACAGCGTCCACTCTGGTCGTGGCGGCGGCTCAAACCGCTGCAGGCCCGCGTATCGCCGCAGCAAATCCTCCACATACTGCAGCGTGCACGGCAGCGAGAGCACCGTGCGGCCTTTCGTCACCCAGCGCTCGGCCATGGCGGCGGCCTCTTCGGGGTCCTTCACCAGCCGGTTCATTGCCGCCTCCACGTCCGAGAAATCCTCATTCACGGGCACGTAGTCGCGGTCGGCGTCAAAGGCGTGGTGCATGTACTCGCGGCACGGCGAGTCTTCCATGAGCACCACCGCACGCAGGAATGCGAGCTCGTGCAGGCGCCGCGACCATCCGCAGTGACCAAACGCATACACGAGGTACTGGTACTCCCCATACGCGGACAGTGGCCGCGGGCTCGGCACCACGCTCACGTACGGCGACTTGATCTTGAACAGGTTTGCCCGGTTGCCGCGGGTGGTGGCGCCTGCGCCCGCGCTGAAGAAGAGCGAGGGGTGCTTGTCGGCCCAGGGGATATCGAGGGCCTCCAACTGCTCCTTGCGGCGCTCCCACACGCCAATGCCCATCTGCCCGTCGCCGAGCCCAAACTGGTCGTGCAGCGTCATGGGGAAGGAGACGGAGGCGTCACCCGCGCATTTGGCGTTGGACAGCAGCGGGCCCGGGCTCTCCCACTGCAGCCGCGCCGTGCTGTACGTGCCGTCCCCGGGCTGCAGGTTGATCTCCAGGTTTGGGATGGGCCTGCCGCGGGCGATGGCGCGGTTGACGGCAAGCTGGATGAGCCAGAAGGCGGAGGCCACGCGGTGCGCGTTGTTGCCCGGCAGGTTCCAGGCGATGTGCCGCACCTCTGCGCCGCGTACGCTGATGCGGATCGACTTGCGCACGCACAGGTCGTCCACCTGCTTCATGGTGATGCCGGTGTCGAGCCAGTTTTTCAGCTGCAGGTCCACGACGGAGGACCAGTCGAAAGCGCACTTCTTGCGGTACAAGCCGTGCATCTGCGCCACCGAATCTTCAAGGTCGTCATTGGTCAGCGTGATGCGAGCACCTGAGGGGCCAACCTTGACGTTGGACAAGTCCTGGTCTTGTTCTTGTTCTTGCTGCTTCTGCTGCTGTTGTTGCTGCTGCTGTTGTTGCTGCTGCTGTTCTTGTCGTTGCTCTTGTCGTTGCTCTTGTCGTTGTTCTTGGCGTTGTTCTTGGCGTTGTTGCTCCTCCTGTTGGTGCTGTTGGTGTTTCCTCCTGCTGAGCTTGCTGCTGGCGCTTGCATCGGTACTCGCTTGATGACGGTCATCGTCTCCACCATCATCCTTGGCAGCCTCGTCGGGAAGGAGGGGCACGTCATCGTCCGTCTCCAGGCCGTCGTCATCGCCGTCGTCGTCCTGGTTGAAGAACGGCAGGGCCTCCTTGTGGCGCACTTGCTTGGCACACGAGTTTGTGGCGTGACAGGAGCGGCTGTCCCCGCTCCCTCCCACATACAGCAGCACAATGCACATTAGCAACACCGCCACCACACCTCCAACCTGCACGTACATGCGCTGTGTTCTCTTCCCTGTCCGCACCCCTCTGCCTCTACTCCCCCTGCTGTTGCTGAACACGTCACGAACAGGCCTGCCACCGCCACCGCCACCACCACCACCGCCACTGCTACTGCTTCCGTGCATCATCCCTTGCCTGTGTCTGCTGCTCTTCCAAATCCAGTCGTTCTCCCGCCAACCAATTACGACATCACATAAAGTAGCGGATACAGGCAACGCCAGCAGTCAGCGCTCTTTTTGGTTTGGTTGTTGTTGGTTGGTTGGCGTGGAACGACCGCAAGCCCAAGGTCAACGCAGCACAGTCACAACGCCATTCAGTCATCGCAGCACAGCTCATACACACACACACGCAAGGATGAGTGACCGGCGGTACGATGGAGGCCGTGGTGGCTATGGGCGTGGTGGATATGGTGGTGGCGACAGGAGAGGGCGCGGCGGTGGTGGTGGACGTGGTGGCAGGCGTGGCGGTGGGTTTGGCCCGCCGCGATCACGTGGCAACAATGACGAGGACGACAGCCGAAGTCAGTCACAAGAAAGTGTTTGTGTCTGTCTGTCTGTGTGTGTGTCTGTCTGTCTGTGTATGTCTGTGTGTCTGTGTGTCTGTGTATGTGTGTGTATGTGTGTGTGTATGTCTGTGTCTGTGTCTGTGTGTTGCCGTTGAACTGGACTAGCTTCGCCATCCGCGTCAGATCAGCACATGTCATCTCACATCGTACATGTGCACCTGCAGTGTTGGCATATTGGCGTGACAGGCGCGATAAGCGAGCCAGCCTGTACAAGATTGAATGTGATGGCCGCATTTGGGCCAGATCCCCAACCCCACCAGAGTACGTGCGGCAAAGCAACGGCTCCCTACATGTTTCAATGTTTGCCACTTTGCTTGCCATCTCCCTTGCCAAGCGGTCTTTGTCCCTGGTTTGCTGTCCACCCCCACTCACACCTTTCAGGAGAAGGTACGTGCGCATGTGCATCATTGTTTGTGCGTGTGCTGGAAACCAAGAGGTTGTATTGTACATGCGCTGCGAATCCCACACACACACACACACACACACCACCTATCTCTCTCTCTCACACACACACACACTCACTGCCCTTCAACGCTATCACACACACACACACACACACACACACACACACTCTCTCTCTCTCTCTCTCTCTCTCTCTCTCTCTCTCTCTCTCTCTCTCACATGCACACACGCACAACCCCACACACACGCGCTTACACACAATAGCCCCCGACGCAGAAGAGCGTGCAGACGGGCACAAGGGCGGCGAGTCATCTGACAGCGACAGCAGCGACGACAGCAGTAGCCGGCGCCGCAAGCACGGCAAGAAGAAGCGGAGCAAGAAGTCGAAGAAGCACCACAAGAAGCACAGCAAGAAGCACCGGCACCACAAGCGGCGGTCGTCAGAGTCCCGCGAATCGAGCGACGACGACGACGAGAGTGGCAGTGACAGCGACGTGAGCAGGCGGTCGCGCAGGCACTCCAAGAAGCACAAGAAGCACAAGCACAAGAAGCACGGCAAGCACAAGAAACGCAGGCACAAGGACAGCAGCAGTGACAGCGGCAGCGAAGCTGATGGTGTGCGCAACGGACGGGAGGATGGCGCGGTGGTGGACGGCGAGCTCCCTCAAAAACGACACAAGGCCAAGGGCGCCGGCGACGATGACGAGTGGGTCGAGGCCCCGCCTGGTGAGTCCGACGGGTTGCACTTTTGTGTGTGGGTGTGTGTGGGTGGGTGGGTGTGGGTGTGGGTGTGTTAACTATTCCTCCGTTGACATCTTGCCTACCTTCTTTCTCCTTATACACACACACGCACGCGCTCACGCACGCACGCTCACGTGCTCGTGTACGACTGCCAACAGTGCCGCCGCAAGAGAAGACTGCGTCTGGGGATGAGGACGATGACGATGAGGACGATGACGTCATTGGACCCGCCCCTCCAAAAACACTCAAGCTCAACCGCGCAACGTACGTGCACATGTGGCTTTCCACTCCCGACTTGCTTGATGCACAAAGGGCGTGATGAATGGTCGACATGGTGGCGCTGGTGTTTGATCTGGCGTGGCATGTGTGATGTATTTGGTGTACCTCCCCCCCCCCCGTTCCTGGCGTGGCCCTGTTTTGCCGGGTTGTTTGCTATCCTTCTTTGTATACTGCACTGCTCACCACCACCACCACCACCACCCCCCTTGCGATGTGCACTGCGCGGCTGCAGGCTCGGGTCGCACATGCTTAAGGGTGAGGCTGATGCCATTGCCGACTATGTTGAGGAAGGCAAGCGCATCCCGCGCCGTGGTGAAATTGGCCTCACCTCAAACGAGATCTCAGACTATGAAGCACAGGGCTACATCATGAGCGGATCAAGGTGCGCGCGCGTGCGTACGTGTGTGTGTGTGTGTGTGTGTGTGTGTGTGTGTGTCTGTCTGTCTGTCTGTTTGTCTGTTTATCTGGTTATCTCGTAATCTATCCATCTGTCTGTCTGTCTGTCTGTCTGTCTGTCTGTCTGTCTGTCTGTCTGTCTGTCTGTCTGTGTGTCCTTGAACTTTAATTGATGTTGAAACCACCACCCATCCACTCGCAACCTGTGCTGCGTCCACGTGTTCTCACGCCTGCCTGCTGCGACCGTGACAGGAACCTGCGCATGGAGGCCGTCCGTCTGCGAAAGGAGAACGAGATCTACGACGCAGAGCGGCAGCGGCAGATGGCGCTCATCAACCAGGAGGCCCGCGAGAAGAAGAACAACGCAGTACGTGCTCAACTCCCTTGCAGGGCTTACGTGTCTGTGTCTGTCTGTCTGTCTGTCTGTGTCTGAGAGTGTGTATGTGTCTGTGTGCGGCGCCCTAAACCATTCACGTTGGCCAAGTGTCCCACATTAGCTCACACAACATCCCCTTTTCTTCTCATCCTTCCGTTCCCCCCCCCCATAGCTTATTGCGGAGATGCGGGACTTCCTGCACAAACAGCACAACAAGATTGTCAAGGAGCAGCACCCAACAGTCGCAGCAAAGTCGCCATAGCAATGGCGCACGCCACGCGCCTTTGTGTCTGTGTGTCTGTCTGTTTGTCTGTCTGTGTGTGTGTGTGTGTGTTGAGCTTACGCTGTGAACTTTCATTGAAAGGAACAAGAAGCAACAGGGATGGTGCATGGGCTGCAGGATGAGAGGGTGTGTCTGTGTGTCTGCGTGCTTGAGCACCACCACAACAACAACAACAACAACAACTGCAGCAATGACCACCAACATTCTTCGTTACCGGGCAACGATGCCTCGTTTCTGCATCTGGTTTGTCAGGCACAGTTTTGTTTGATGATGCAGCAACACAGCAAAGCACAACAACAAACAAACCCCTTCACCTCCATCCACCACCACCCACACATACAGCACAAGCAAGGCGGATGCCTGCAGGCAAGCTTGAGCGATGAGGAAGGGTGCGATGGCATCGCCAACAGGCGTGATCTTGGCTGTGTTGGTGGCCTTGGCTGTGGCGCCGGCGGCAGTGGGCGCAACTTGCGCGACAAAGTGCCGGGATGAAGGGCTCACAGACTCTGCGCTGAACACGTGCCTGGTCGCGTGCACAAGCGCCGTCGTCTCCCCAGACACCACCAACTGCACACGCGCGTGTGTGTCTGACGCCTGCCTGAGCGGCTGCCTTGCTGGAAGGTGCCTGGCCAACGAGACGTACTGTGGATCCTCAGGCACATCAAATCATACGGGGTCCAATGAGGATGGCACCAACAACACCAGCAATGGCAACTCAGACAGCACCGGAAACGGCGGGCCAGATGTGTGGCTCATCACAGGTGTGCATATGTGTGTGTGTATGTGCGTGTGTGCGTGTGTGTGTGTGTGTGTGCGCGCGCGCGCATGTGTGCGCATGTGTGTGCATGTGTGTGCATGTGTGTGTGTGCATGCGTGTATGCATGTGTCAGGGAGTGGTGCAGTTTGCTGTGCTTCCACGCAAGCCCTTCCTCTCTGCGCCCTTGTTGCTGTGCCAGCGCAGCAGCGCCAAGCACCTTCCCTCGCTCACCCAACTGTCGCTCACTCTGCACCTCAATCATGTCTCGGCCTCCTGTGCTTCACCAATGGCAGGGAGTGTCCTGCTTGCGCTCGGGGCAATCGCGTGTGTTGTTGCCGTCATGTATGCAGTCCGCATCATCCGCAAGGCATCGAGGGCTGAAGAGCAAGCGCGTGCAGAGAAGCAACGACACGCCGAGGAGCTCTTTGCCATGGAGTGGGACTCAACCGATACGTATTCCACCAACCGCCTCCAGGGTGCTACACAAACAGACACTAGCAATGCCAGCGATAACACCGACAGCAACACCCACAGCAACACCAACAACACCATTGATGCCCGCAGCAGAGATGACAGCTCCGAGGATGCCAGCCACACCACTGCTGCGCGAAGCCACAACCACCGCGATGTGGCGCATGCACGGCACGCAAAGTCAATAGCAAGTGCAAGTGGCGCAAGTGACGCCAGCCACCACAGCCGGCACAGCAACGCGCGCTCGGCGCCTTCGGCAGCGACAGTAACAGATGACGGGAGCCAGTCAACGATGCATTCACCTTCACACATGCGCTCACGGTCGGGCGGATGCCGGGAAGATGCTATCCTCCATCAGGGCCAGTATCCCAGCCACGATAGACAGCAAAGTCAATCAGACACGCTGCAATCCACCCAAGGGCCTGTACCCCAGGTCCAATACTTAACGCTGAAGCACACGCGTGATGATGGCGCATCGGGAGACTACGCCCGCCCCCTCACCATGGCGACAGAGACCACCGACAAGACTGACTATGCAGAGGTTGACCATGTCAAGACGCAGGCGCTGGCCGCTGCCCTCGCGGAATCGAACAGCCCGAGCCGCCACCCGACACACAGCAACGCGCCCTCGCACGCAGCGAACATTGCCGTTCGGAACGATGGCAGCGCTGGGCGCACATACAGCATCTCATCCAGCACCGTGTGAGTTGGTGCATGTGTGAGTTGGTGTATGTGTGCGTGAGTTGGTGCATGTGAGTTGGTGTATGTGTGAGTTGGTGTATGTGTGTGTGTGTCTCTCTGTGTGTCTGTGTGTGTGTGCCTGTCTCCTTGGCTGTGTGAGCCTGTGTTCCCTTGCTCGACCGCATTGCATTGGCTTTGATGTGAATATGAAGCAAGAATTGGCTGGTGCGTTGGCATGCGCTGTGAAGCGAAAGGGTCCGTTAAAAGATGTGTATTGAGTGCCCCCAATAAAGGACAACCACAAACAACTAACAATGGGAGAGAAGCAGCAAAGCAGCACTCGCTATCACGCAGTACGCACGCACACACACACACACACTCTCTCTCTCTCTCACTGACACACACACACACACACACTCTCTCACACACACACACACCAATCCCTAGTCTGACCCTATGTGTGTGTACCCTCTCCGCCTCACTCCGTTGCCTTGCGCGCCGGTTGTCGTCGTCTTCGCACGCCACGAGACGCGCCAGTGTCCTCTTTCTCGTTGCTGTCGGTGCTGCTCGTGCCGCCATCTTTCTCTGACGCCTTGCTGCTTGCTGGTGCCGCGGTCGCTTCATGCTTCTCTTCCGTGTCACCTCTGCAGCCAAAGAGAGAAGGAACGCATTGAAAAGATCAAAGAATCAGCGATCAGCGGGTTGCATGCAGGCACAAGCCCTTGCACGTGAGTGAGTGTGTGTGTGTGTGTAGTGTGGGTGTGAGTGGGTGAGTCTTGTGAGTGAGTGGGTGTGAGCGAGTATGCGGAACATGCCTGTTGGTACTGGTGTTGCCTGTATCGGCATCCTCTGTGGTTGCCCCATCAACTTGCTTCTGCTTCTGTTTCTGCTGCTCATCATGATCACCATCACGGTCGGGGATATCGTACTCGCCGCGCCTGTTTGGGTCCACCCGGTAGATCCAGCGCTGGTACAGGAACACAAGAAACACAATGTCTGGGGATGCGCACGCACGTGACAGACACGTGATGTGAGGGCAGAACGTGACGTGACATGGTATTTCAAACAACCACGATTCGACAGGCGCAGTCAAATGCATCAAAAGAATGGATTCGCACACACGCAAGCATGAATACGCAACACACACACACACGCAAGCATGAATACGCACACACACGCACACACGCAAGCGTGAATACGCACGCACACGCACACGCACACGCACGCACGCACATAGATACACACATACACACACCGTCGCGGAAGCAGGCGAGCCGGTGCATTGTCGGCATGGAGATGACAAAGGCAAAGAGGTCATCGACGATGGTGTTGAGAAACTTGTACGTCATGACCCTCCACGGCATGTGCGACACAGACTTGAGCTTGTAGTTGATAAACAGCTGGGGCGTCATCTGAATGAAACCTGTCAAATGAACAACGGACACGCAAGGACCACGCACAAAGACATGCAGAGTTAAAAAACCAACCAGCCACACAACACCACGAGCAGACAACACACTACACCACATTACACAAAACACGCACACCACACACACCACACACTCCCTCACATACACGCATACACGCACTCACATACACGCACATACACGCACTCACATACTCTCGTTCCCCTCTACTCTCATCCCCTCCCTACACTACTTCCACCCCAGGAAACGCACCGAACGTGTACACTGCGCCGGCGAGCATGTTGATGGCGTACGAGTACCAGCCCTTGTGCTCATTGTACACGAGAGAGTACACAGCGTATCCGACAAACAGAGGCGCCATCACCCACGACAGGTATTTGAACGCGAGCTGCCACAATGTTGGGGGATGGGGGGGGTGGTAGGTGGTTAAGATTCGAGTGGGACATGAGTTGTTGGGAACATCGACAAAACGGCCACGAACACATTCACGTGCACGAAAAGAACCACATATGCACACACACACACGCACGCACACACATGTACACACACACACACGCACACACACACACACACATGCACACACACGCACGCACACAGAGTGCTAGCCACACCTGGTCGTATGCCTCTGTCGTGGACTTGTAGTCTGCTTTTCCCTTGATGGACACGCGCGGGAAAATGCCAAGCACGCGGCTCGTCTTGGAAACGCTGACGTCAGCAGCACGTGTGATCTGGCACGTGTATATGTGTGTGTGTGTGTGTGTGTGAGCTGTAAATGTGAGAGGTGGGCTCTTGGGCATGGCGAACAACTGCTTATCCAGCCGCATAAACACAATCGAAAACCAACCAAACGCGAACAAATGCAACTGCACAACACATCACACAAGTGCAAATGCCCCGCACCTTCCACCCCTGAATGAGAACGCCAACAGCGGAGGAGGCGAGGATGAGCCAGGATGTGTCCGTGTGGTCGAACAGATAGAGCAGGATGATGACTTGGAACACGAGCGACGTGATGAGCGCACGCAGGCTCAGCCCTTCCATGCTCTTGCGGTTGCGCCAGAATTGAATGTCTGGTGTGTGTGTGTGTGTGTGTGTGTGTGTGTGTGTGTGTGTGTGTGTGTGTGTGTGTGTGTGTGTTTGAGGGAGAGGCTTTTCACATGCACATGACCGCAAGCATAACAGAACGAATCATGCACGATTGTGGCGAGATGTATCCTGTTGTTTCCTCTCTGTCGCAGACGCACACACGCACACACACACACACACGCACGCACGCACACACACCGTTCTTGAAGGCCATCCAATCAAAGACCGTGTGCAGCAGCGACACCGTCATGGTGAGGCCGAGATAGTACGGGTTCGTCTCGAGCAGCATCTGTGGAGCGTAGGCGGATGTGTCATGAAGGCAGAACGCACATGTGCGTGTGTGTGCGTGTGTGTGCGTGTGTGTGGGTGGGTGGATGTGTGTGAGTGTATGTGTGTGTGGGTGTGAGTATGCGTGTGTGGATGTCGAGTGCGATGTCATCAGATTGTGGACTGCTCGCAACAATAAACTGTGTACATGCGCGACTGCTGCAAAGCGTCACATCCAGAGTTGTCTCCTCAAACCAATCCCCTCATCTGGTTTCCACCTTCCCTGACCTTCTTCATCATCTCCTGCTCGGCCTCTGCAGCGGTGCCGAGCGTTCGCTGGTGTTGAAGGCTCTCCTGCATGCTCTGGTACAGCCCAAGTCTGCACACAACACACATACACACGATCTGGTGTGAGCCACAAATTGCTGCACCACAACCCCATGATCCATCGTCCTCCACAAGCACACACACACACACACACACACAAGCACTAACACACACACACACACACAAGCACTAACACACACACACACACACACACACACACACACACACACACACACACACACACACACACACACACACACACACACACACACACACACACACACGCACGCACTTCATCATGCCGATGGGTCCAAAGGTGATGTTGAGCGGCAGCGGGCTGGCCGTTGTGGCATTGATCTCCTGCATGTTCTCGCGCAGGTCCCAGAAGTCGTTGTGTACGAGCGGCGGCGTGTACTCCCGTGACTCCTGCAACAGTCTGTCGCCCAACACAACGCATCGCGAATTGAGAGCCATGTGGAGCCAACCAGGCAGAGCGCAATCAAGCCATTGCACACACACACACACACACACACACACACACACACACACACACACACACACACACACACACACACATCCACACAAACGCACGTGAAGAGACGGACTGCAGCGGGAGGAAGCTGTTCTGTCATTAAGGGCTGGTCATCGGTGAGCAGCTGCAGTGTCAAGTTGCCGTGCCAGTGCGCAACAATTTGCCTGTCTCTAGCCTGCGCATGTTCCGCATGCTGCCCTTCCTCCTCGCTGTCGTCGCTGCTCTGATCATTGGTTGGATCCACTGCGTCCAGCAGATGGCGCTTGCGCTCAACCACCTTCTTCTCCTTGTACCGGATGATGTTGGTGTGCAGCTCCGCCACGCTGCCACGGTCGTACGCGGGATCAGATGGATCCAGGGGCGCGCCTTCCTTGCACACGTAGGCGTGCACGTACAAGGTCCCGTTCGCCTTCAGCCCCGGGCTGACGTCCACCTCAACAAGCTTGTGCATCAGCTGCGCGTCCCAGTCCCCGTATGCGATCCCAGTCTCCTCCCACACCAGGTGATCCGTGCTATCCCAGGCCGAGAAGGCTGGCCCATCCTCTGTCACATACACGTACAGCGAGAGCGGGTCCGAGTAGTGGAACGTGTTCTGGTACCTGCGTACGCCACGTGCATCATCTGCTGTGCGAGAAGAACCGTGGCCACCATCGCCGCCGCGCCGGCTTGCTGATGCAGACGCAGCATCAGGTGATGGCTGAACCAGCTTGGAGACAGCCGTGGACAGCAGCGACTGCACAACCATGAACAGCATCGCATAGTACATGGCCTTGTACAGCCGCTCCCCGAGGCCTGGAGCCGCCGCCTCCTCCCCTTCCTGCTCTTGCTGTCTTGGCACATTCATATTCGTCGTTTTCCTTGGTTGTTGTTGGTGTGGATATGGCGCGGTCTTTTCAAACACGAGCAAGAACTCAAGAAATAAATGAATGTCTTGTAATCTTGTCAAGCACCTTGTCTCTTGTCACAGCACGGTGTCGGCCTCAGGCGAACACGTGTTTCTTTCTGCGAAAGTGCTGAACGCCACGAGTTCACATGACCCCTCGCAAGCGTGGCACTGCATCTGCTGTGCAAGCTTCAGCACTGTTGTGTTGGTTGGGGAGTCATTGTCACTGCATCCTTTAGCCTTCTATGCCTAGATGGGCCAGGCGCAGGCGTGTACTGGTAGACTGCTCATAGGCTCATTAATAAGAACAAACAAACAAGTTCAGACACAAATACATCCATAACACACGCACTGCTCAATTAGGCACCGCCAGGTCCCGTACAGCTTCCACAACACCAAGCATGTAATAGTGTAATGAAGGTAATGACCAAGCGAGATGTAAACCCTCGCCCATGCCCCCACGAGCCCACGCGTCTCTTGGTCTCTGAAATGAATCATCTCTACACGTGTGCCCTTGTTAGCTTGCTGCAATATTATTTTCACGTATGTACTTCTTTGGTTTGCGCACGTACATGTGGTGTGTGTGTGTGTGAGTGTGTGTGTGTGTGTGTGTGTGTGTGTGTGTGTGTGGTTCTGATCCCGTCATGATGAAGTTCTGTCGTTTACTCTCACGTCATGTCACTTACTTCTGCCCAACACACGTAACAAATGCACACGTCAGCACTGCACGTCCTGTGTGCTGTCGTTGAGGTCGATGCCCCGCGTAACGAACGTGTCAACCAAAGGGGCGAGGCAGCTCTGACAGCACGCCGCAGCAGGGCGCACGGCACCCATGCACATGTAGCACGTCGCTTGCGCCTCCGCATCCTGCATGTGCGGGAGCAAGTGGATATGCGAGTGAGAATAGTCATGGGCGGGAGTCAGAGCGTGCGTGTGGGGGACGCATGAACAAGCAGCCGGGGCTTAACTGTGGTCGCAATTTAACCTGCAAGCACCACAACGTCATCAACATCAAACACCCACAGTCGTGTAATCGAGCTGCGCTCACAGCCTCATCTTTCACCTGAAACATCGGGAAAGCATCTGGGAGCGAAATGACAGCTTCAAGTTCATCCTTGTTTGTGACCTGATAGCAGCGGGGAAGAGACAGGGAGAGAGCCGGGGGGGGGGGACGAATAGCGGGCACGTGAGACACGGCTGCACAGTCGTTCAGTGGCACAAGTTTGCGCGCACATAGGCGAGACTGACACGAGGGTGCATGCACAGAACACATACACACAGACAGACAGACAGACAGAAAGGCAGACACACAGACAGACAGATAGACAAACACACACACACACACACATGCACACACCAGGCCGTATTTCGACGTGTGGACTTTCTTTGGGCGGGACTTGTTGCGTGGGCGAGCGAGCGCTGGTTTTCCCTCTGCAGTTGTCATGCTGTCACGGCGACGAAACAACAGCCGCCTTCGCGCGTTCAGGAAGGTGTGCACGTACCGTCCCGTCATGAGATGTGAGGCATAAAGGTGATCGTGGGCAGCTTGAGCGTTATCGCTATAAGATTACATACACACACACATTCAAGGATACCTTCGTCGTCGAGGCTTTGTCTCACTGCTGTCTGTTGTTGTTATCTGCTCTGAAGCATCTGTTTGCACCGCACACACGCACGCACAACATCATTGAGAACACATTCCGACAGTACTACGGCTTGCACAGGCACATACATTGCCACTTCACGTGTGTGCACAAGCAAGCGCCTTCCAGATGCTCTTACACACACACACGTACCTTGTGATATTGAGTCTGTGTCCTCACTGCCATGCACACACACACACACACACGCATAAAGTAACGACGAAATGTGAGAAGGAGGAGAGCAATACACGCATATGAGTGAACAACCAGAGCAAATCAGTTCAAGATCCTCACGTGAGCGCGTCCGGTGCGGTGCCTCCCTTCACGTCGGCTGTAGCGTGTGACAACGAGGACCAGTGCCACGTGGAATGGGTGAGCCACGTTTCATTTTGTGTCAAAACAAAAACAAAACATGCAACAGCAGCAATGCCGACGGGTGACGTGAGCGCACACATGCACAAACACGGGCATATACAGTCAGCCAGACGCAGACACAGGCAAGCAATCACACACACACACACACACACACACACACACACACACACACACACACACACACGCACACACACACACACGCACACACACACACAAGACCACTGCTGTTGTACCAGGCACGTGTTGCCGAAAGTGATGGCCATGCTCTGACCTTTGTCAACAATGACGGGTGGCATTGGCTCGTCGTCATCGTCTTCCTCATCCACATCTTCATCACCGTCTCCGCTTGCGTGCGCGCTCGCGGCTGTGCTTGCGCTCTGCTGTGTCCTGGGGTCTCGTTGCGAGCTCGGTGCGTGCGGCGATGTTTGGTGCTTGGGCTGCTGCTTCGCCTGCTCATATGCGCTTCGAACGCCCAAGCACATTCGGTTGGCCTCAGCCTCAACGAACAAAACATGCAAGCAGAGAGGAAGGGGTGCGGGCGTGTGAACACAAAATGCAGCGCGATGAACAACGTTGGGGAAACACGGCTTTGCGCGCAAGGAAGGGGGCAACGCATCACAAGAAGCCCGCGTTGGTACGATGGACATGTTTTTGTTCCACGCTCGCGTACAATGACAAAGACAGACAGACAGACACAAAGACACAGACAGATAGGCAGACACACACACACACACACAGAGGCAACGAAAATACCATGGAAAGGCAGCGAAAGGCGTGGAAACGGGCCTGTTTTCCGACAGAATCAGCGCCGCTCAACAGCGAGAAGATGCAAGGCTCATCAGCCTGTTCGTGGCCAATACCCAATGTGTATCAGCCAGCAAGTAGGTCAGTAGCTGTCGAACACACGGTGAAGCACGGCAGAACACACCCAGGTGCACACGAAATGCACCCGAACAGAACACACGCACACGCACACGCACACCTGGCAAGAAACAATGCGTCGCAGAGGATGGAAGCTGCCTGTCTTGTCCAGAACCGCCTGGTGCATCATCACAGGAACGAACAACACGTCTTAGGTCACCGTTGGCTTGACACAGGAGGCGCATACCGCGTCGCACACGGACACGCGCGCTTGCTTACTGACGCGCAGGCTAGCGCATGCACGCCATCAAGCAGCGCCACCTCTCCAACACTGCCACGCTGATACGCGCAGCACTGCGTACCGGGTCTGGATGCTTGATGCGGATGCCTTCCACAGTCACCGTAAGTGAAACAGTAGGCACAGGCTCGGTTTGCTGCATCTGAGAGTTGCACAGAAGGGTATCCGAGAGTATAGCAGTGGTGTGACGAGAGCGAACAGTCAGCTGTACCGATGCCAGCGCATCAAAATCAATTGACACAGGAATAGCGGTGGACACAACAGCGGCAGACTGCCCAACATTGCGGCCAACACTGGTCTTGCAGTGTCCAAGGATTGTCGCACTGCCATGTTGTGCGTGCGTACGTTGGTGGCGAGGACCATGGTCAGGAGCTTCTTCGATAGCAGCGCCCTGTCCCTGGCGAGGCTGTGCGTGCTTAGATCAACATGATCACTACCCAAGTACTGTTTGGTGTGCGTGAGTGAGTGAGTGAGTGAGTGAGTGAGTGATCGTGTGAGTGAGTGTGAGTGAGTGTGGGTGAGAGAGTGAGTGAGTGTATGCGTGTGTGTGTGTGTGTGCGTGAGTGAGTGAGTGAGTGAGTGAGTGAGTGAGTGAGTGAGTGAGTGAGTGAGTGAGTGTCTGATTGTGTGAGTGAGTGAGTGCAACAGTGTGCGAGGGTGTCTCCGTTGTGCCACTGAATCGTGACGCCAAGCCCGGTGTTGCTTGAAGTGATACGCGACAGGCCAATCCTCTCCACACAGACACAGACACACACACACACACACACACACACACAGACACACACAGACACACACACACACACACACACACACAGACACACACAGACACACAGACACACACACACACACACTTGAGCTTCGACACGCTGTGCCGGTCGTCCACTCATCCTCTCGCTGTTGTTGTTGTTTGGGTTGGATTTGCCAATTGCGAGAGATGGCATTCACAATTCGCAAACACAAGGGCAACAGACCAAGCAAGCAACAAGCAAGCAAGATGAGCGGCAGTAGCGCGGAGCAAGAGGAAGTCAGGCAACAGCTGACGCTGGCACTGGAACAAGGGCGTGCAGATGCCCTGCGTCATGTGCTCGATCACCAGGCGCAGATTGCCGGTGGCGCTGATGGCGTGCGACACCTTCTGACATCCACCCCCATGCAAGAGGTGAGGTCACACGCGTGAATAGTCTCTGTGCTCGTGCGTGTGTGCACAGGCAGAGGGGGGGGGGTTCCAATCGCTCAATTGTGCTCGCTTCTTGCATACCCGTGCGCGCGCGCATAACCATGCGTGCGTGAAGCGCAGCTTGCTGTTGCCGCTGCGCTTGCTTACATGTTGACTCCCTGTGCGCATGGCAACGACGTGCGCTTGTCTCGAACGCGTGATGTGCTACTCCACCGCTCAAGGGCAACGAGACCATGTCGCCGCTGCACTACGCAATGAGGATGGGGCATGCCGATGCAGCGCGAATGCTGGTGGCCGCAGGCGCCGACCTATCAGGTGCGTCTGAACCACCTCAAAACACTGCCTTGCTCTCGCGGCTTTATCTCAATGGTCGTGTCGTTTCTTGTGTCGATTCGCAGCGGCAGGGAAGCAAATCCCCCACACACCAGCATCACGCGACTCCACACCTCACTTGCTCACACGTCTCATGCTCCCTGTCCGTTGCCGCCGTGTGTTCATCAGCCGTGGACAGTGAAGGGCGCACACCCGTTGATCTCGCCAAGCAAGGCCATGTGCCGGACGTGCTCACCAGCGAACTCTTCACGGTGAGTATGGACATGCGCTTGTGACCATACTTAACTGTGACCACGAGAGTGAAAAGAGCGAGACAGCACACCTGCACGCGAGAAGAGGGCGATGATGAGGGCTTGACACAGCGCTCAACCTCGCTGATGCAATGCTCATGGGCCGACACGGCCGATACAGGCCGTGGCCCGGGATGACGTCGAGCGCGTGACGCAACTGCTGTCAGCAGGCCTGACATTGGACGGCGTGGACAACGCAGAGAAGTGGGTGTTTCGGCATGTGACACAGATAATGCACATCCGTGCCGTGCAGCATGTGTACGCTCGTCCACACCACCATGCACAAATGATCCCCTTTTGGACTGCGTGATGTGATATGATAGCACACGGCCGCTCACAAGCAGTTGTATCCTCTCAACCACTCAGGGGCAACACCTGTCTGCACTGGGCAGCCAGCCTCAGCCAACCGTCCACCGTCGAATTGATTGTCAGTCGTGTGTGTGTGTGTGTGTGTGTGTGTGTGTGTGTGTGTGTGTGTGTGTGTGTGTGTGTGTGTGTGTGTGTGTGTGTGTGTGTGTGTGTGTGTGTGTGTGCGTGTGTGTGTGTGCGTGTGTGTGTGTGCGTGTGTGTGTGCGTGTGTGACGTGCGAGGGTGCTGTACTGGTTTGGGTTAAGCCTTTCCCTCCCTCATCATCAGCACCACCACCAACCGCACAATCACACACACCAACCGCACAATCACACACATGCATGTTCTGCGCGCAGCTGGCGAAGGGTGCAGATGTGAATGCGCGCAACGCATGTGGAGCAACACCGCTGCACGATGCCGCCAAGAGGGGCGACTTTGACGTCGTGCAGGTGTGCGCTGTTGTCTTTCGCTGCAAACACGCACGTGCACAAACATGCGCACATAACACCCACATTCACACGTATACGCACGCGCGCGCGCACACACACACACACGCACGCACACACACACACACACAAGCACATCCACAAGCACATACACAAGCACACATGCTCACGCTTTACACCCTCATCGTGCAGATGCTGCTTGCTGCTGGCGCCACACGTGACCCCGTCGGTGTTGGCGGTGCATATGCACAGCGCAGACCCGTCGACATGATCACACCAACTGCTCCCAACGCCGCACAGCTCGCTGCCATCCTCCACCCAGACGTGCGGTGTTTTTACGCTCTGCGTGAATGCTGTGGATGCTTGCCTGACTCACTTGCATTTGATATTGTGTCTTGAAGACGACGCTAACACACACGTACACACACATGCCCACACATGCCCCCCCCACCCACACACACACATGCACATGCCCGTCTGTAGGCTGGGCTTGCCTCAGCAATGGCGGGCGAAGAAGCCGCCAACAGCAACGCCACCACCGCTGACGCAAACGAGCGAGCAACGCAGCAACAACAGCAACAGCAACAGCAGCCGCAAGAACAGCAGCAGCAAGAGCAGCATCAGAATCACGAGCAGGGCGGGGAGGGCGTGTCGCCGCCCACATCGTCGTCGTCGTCGTCGTGGTTTCCTGGTCTGGACCGATTTGTGCAGCTGGCAGCCGACAGCATGGAGCAGGAGGAACGCGAGCGCATGCAGCAAGGTCGCCAGTGGTGGTGATGGTGGTGATGGTGATGACAGATGGTTGTCTGTGTGTGTGTGTGTGTGTGTGTGTGTTGACGATGGGTTTTGGGGTTCCTGTCCTTTCATCTTGCTTGGAACGCGTGCACTGTATTCACCCCTCCCCCCCTCCCCCCCCCCACTGTCGCCAACACCAGAGCTACTGCAGAAGCAGCAGGAACAGCTGTCAAATGTACGATTAACACATGCGCTTGTCAATCCTGTTTCGTCCCCGTACACACACCCTCACTCACACACACACACACACACACACACACACACACACACACACACACACACACACACACACCCTCACTCACACTCTCGCACACACACCCTCATTCACACTCTCGCACACACTCGCACGCTACAGTACTCTCAATCTCACTCTATCACACAGACACACTCACGCTAACACTCACACATGCACATACTCACATTCGCGTCCTTTACTTCTGTACGTCTCTGCATTGCCTCGCAACCCCCGCCCTTCCCTCACCAGCTGCAAGTGAGCGACGAGCGCGACGGTACGGCTGTGGCAGATGACACCTCTGCTGCTTCGTCTGAGCACAGCAGCGAACGCATCGACCCCATTCTGCCTCAGCTCAGCCATCCACTGCAGGTATGGCGGGTGGTGGTGCGTGTGCGTGTGTGCGTGTGCGTGTGCGTGTGCGTGTGCGTGTATGTCAGTGTTTGCTTCCTTGATGAGAGCTGCTTGCGTTGCCATCATCACCACTACAACCATAACCACCACGTTCGCACACACCACAATCGTCATCACGGCCGCATTCACATTCACACCTCATCACCACCGTCGCACCAGCTGCTGTGGCCGCAGCCGCGCCAAATTACGCAGTTCCGCGGGCGCCCCTTTGTGCCCACACCATCCCTCGAAATCTACTTTGCTCCATGTACGTGCGTGTGTATGCATGTATGTGTGTATGTGTGGTGTGTGATGTGTGATGCGTGATGTATGAGTGCGACGTGCTTTCCATGGGAAAGAAGTGCACACGTGCGTGCGTCACCTGGTGACACAGCTGGCTCATGCCCTCACCCCTCACCCCTTGCTTTGCGGCGCTGTGTTCAAACCAGTCGATTCTGCACACGCCGCCGACATCGATAGCATCTTCGATTACCTGACGTGAGTGCACGCCAATATGTGTGTGTGTGTGTGTGGCGTTGTACGCCATTTCATGCACTCGCTTGTCGCCTTCCACGTCACACACACATGTACATGCACATGCACATGCACATGCACATGCACAAACATACAAACACACAAACGCACACACACACACATACACGCAATACACCGACGACACCACGACTGCCGCAGGAGCGGGCTGAAAGCGCTCGGGCACACGACGACGCGCACGCACTACCCGACACTCAAGTGCGACGTGACGTGTCGCATCACTGCAGCGCTCGCCCGCCGCCCAGAGGCATACAGGGTCGTCGTCGACAGCTCAGGGTGCGTGGTGGTGGTGGTGGTGGTGGTGCCCGAGCAAGTGGAGCGTATTCAGTTGCTCTAAGCTGCATCCATGTCCATTGCAAACTCGCACACATTCGCACCATTGTTGCCTCACACAATCCCCGGCACCCACACTCTCCACACCTCCCCTCCCATCTCATCCTTGACTCAGCGTGATCCTGAATGCCGGGGACGTGAGCGGGCTGCGTCACGCGTGCACGACGCTACTGCAGCTGCTGCGGTTGTGCTGCTGGCGCCCAGTGGACATGAACACCGATGCAGACGCCACGCCAACCAAGTCCACGCCAGCCGACCCGAGCACAGGCAACGACCGCGAGCACCGCGGTGAGCCAATGCCACGTTTAGTGCGACTGGCGTAACTCCAGACCAGTCTGGTGTCACAGCTGCACACACATACACAGATGGGCAAAAGCACATGCAAGCTTATGTGTACGCATGCACACACACAAACACACACATGCACACACGCACACACACGCACACACGCACACACACGCACACACACGCACACACACGCACACACACGCACACACGCACTTGTACATTAACGCTCACGTGCATCATTGCACCTGATGGGCCCGTTCATCACGGATCCAACACGACACGCGTGCCTGCAGGCATTCCACCGCTGCGCATCCACGACTTCCCCGACTTTCCCAACCGCGGGTTCATGCTCGATGTTTCGCGGGACAAGGTGCCGACGATGGCGACGCTGTATGCACTGGTGGACCTGATGGCCTCACTCAAGATGAACCAGCTCCAGCTGTACATGGAACATACCTTCGCATACGCCGAGCACAGGTGCGTGCGCATGCTTGTGTTTGTATGTGTGCGTGTGTGTTGCGGAGTAGTGATTTTGATGTCGATGATTGGTTGCGTATCGAGTACCACTCTGATGTTCACACAATGTACCGTGTCCGTTACCTCTGCTACGCCCGTCAAACGCACACGCATTCTTCCACATGCTTACCCTTTCGCACCACGCCCACTACCAACACGCCTGCCGCGATTGCCACACCTGTTTCGCCACCCTCGACACCACGGTGCTTGGCAGGATCGTGTGGGAAGGGGCTGATCCGTACACGCCGTCGGACATATGCGCACTTGATCGCTACTGCCGCCAGCGCGGGATTGCGCTCGTGCCGAACCAGAACTCGCTCGGTCACTTCCACCGCTTTCTCAAGCACGACAGATATCGTCAGTTGAGCTCGCAGGCCTCCCTATGCTGCGCGTAGGCTGGGCTGTGTGTCGTCGTTGTTGTTGTGTTTGTTGTCGTTGTCGTTGTGTTGTTTGTATCGTTGTGGGTTTGTATGGTTGCTTGTTCTTGTGTGTCATGTCTTGCGTTAGTTACCCCGACTCACCTTCCCAACGCTACCCATCCCTCTCCTCCCCCCCCCCCAAATTTCGTCCCTTTCATCAGGCCATCTAGCAGAGTGCCCCGAAGGCATCAACTTTGGACCACGCCCCAGCGGTCCCATGGATGCGCCCTTTTCCCTCTCCCCAATCGACCTCCGATCTATCAGCCTGGTGATGATGATGATGCTGATGATGATGATGATGATGATGATGATGATGATGATGATGATGATGATGATGATGATGATGATGAAACGTGGTCGTGGCAGTGATGATGATGATGATGACGAACGGTGGTGGTGGTGGCCGTTTGATGTCGTGTTGACATTACCAAGTACAGCTGGCGGCTGCCGCATCTGCATGGCACGCTCCCATCCATGTGACACGCACCCTCCCTCCCATGCCCCTTCCCATGTTCTGCAGATTTCGTCACTGTACAGCGAGCTGTTCCCCAACTTCACATCCTCCTCTCTCGCCCACGTTGGACTCGACGAAACGGTTGATATCGGTGCGTACAAACACATGAAATAACAGCCGACGTTTGCGCTCTCATGTGTGTGTGTGTGCGCTCGTTCGCTTGCTTATGTCACGTGCATAGCCATGACTGCTTTCCTCCTCTCTGTACAATCATCTTCTCACATTGTGCCACGTTGCTGTCCCCCTTTCCCTCTTTGTTCGCGCTCTGCTTTCAAACACACAGGCCAGGGCGTTTCCCACGACGACTGCGCTCGCGATGGGCCGGGCGCCG